TGTTCGCCGATTGGGCACAATAATACAAAGCATTTTTTGTGCCCAATCAGGAGCCAGCATTCACTTGACCGTTTGGAAATGGTCCGGTGAGAGTCGGTACCCAGGGGCTCTTCCGCCTGTGCTTGAAAACTTTCATCGCGCCTTTTCTCCCGGCCCGACTGACTGCCCCTGGGTCTCCGAGGATGAAAGACCCCTTACGCTGAAGTTTACGGTCCGGGAATATCGCAAGAGTTCAGTATTTCCCTACTCGTTCCAGACTTCTACGATAGTCCTACGTTCGATCCATGGGAGGAACAATTCATGCCTTCATGGGATAGTAGGAGGCGAAGCGATTGTTTTTGCTCGGTTCCAATACTCCAGCTGCTTAGCACATGTTTTTTGTAACAAATCGGTGGAATCTGAGACTATCAGGAAAAATTCGTCCTCCACACTCAGATAACCAGTCACCGTCACCCTCCGCCACGGCAAACGATCCGGCAAACGAGCGGGAAAAAAATTGGCGGGAAGCCTGGAAGTCAAAGCGCCTTGGTAGCCGTGTAAAAAGTCACGTGATGTCCAAATTTAGGCGGGAATTCGTTGAACATTCGAATGAAGGCTGCCATTTTGAATTGTAATAAGGAAGAATAACGCGTTTTTATGGTTCTTTTTCGAGTATATTTTGACTTTAAACTGGTAAGTTGCAAACATAATAGTTTGTAGAAGTTATCTATGTGTATCTTTTGTATGTATTTGCAGTTTTAGTACCTCTCCAGCGTTTCAAATTTACGCGCTTTACAAGAAAAGTAACACAATACTACTTGAGTCTGTAGCGTCGTTTTCTTCGCTTCATTTGTCGTTCGTGAATGTAAGCATAGGCTTGTTTCAACGTTATGTTGTTTTCACAGGTAGTTACTTGTTTGCATTACTTTAATGTTCGTCGTTTGGAACTGTTTTTTGGTGGTAAAAAGAAAAATTTTGTCCTCGAAAAAACGCGTTAACTTGTAAATTTGGCTTACACTATAAGGACCAAAAAGCACCGTTTATATCGCTTTTCGTCCGAATAACGTACTCCACATCTAAGTTTTCTATGCTACACACTCTCCCGAGTTTATTTAACTCAAGGGCTCAATACTGAATGCGTCGCCAATTGTGTCTTTCGACTGCTAAGAGAAAAAGTCAACGTCTTAGCTTCTTGCTCGTGACAAATGACAATAGCTTCACGATTTCAAATCAACGGATTTTTGCTGTTACATTTTATGGTTTTGAATGAAAAATTTGGGGTTATTACAGCTAATAGTTGTTACAAATGAAACAACGAAATCCAAAATTATTTAGAAGGCGTCTTTCCTAAATATGATCTTGGTTCTGTTTCAGTGGAACGTAAACTTTGTCAAACATAAACAATTTCTAATCAATCTGAAATTGAAATAATTAAAAAAGGCGATATTTCACTTGTTTATGGGTTGATAATTTTTAGGTTCCACATTTTGTGCACTCGATTCCAACGATTTATCGAGTCCAAATACAAAAACTAGATGATTATTAGGCTTAAGCTTGCTATTATTTTTAACCCACTGACATAGCTGCTTTGTATGACTACCTGTTTGAACACGTACAAAAGTGACACACATGCAAGTGAGCAAATGTTGAAATGTGGGTTCCTCGAGGCTATCCTGTCAAGCCTAAATTGCCCAAATTGTACTTATTAGTAAGAATTGCTGTTTTGAGTTAATTCTGTTTGCTTTTCTAAGAATACTCATTTTTTGCATGTCAGAATGGACAAAAAATATTTGCCACCTTTCTAATCGGAACAGGATTTAAAAGCAGTGAAATCATGGAGGACTTCCCTCAAAAATAAAGTGCAGTTCACCTTTGTTCATAACAAAACTTTAGATAATGCTGACAAAATTAATACATCTGACCAATACAGGGAAAACAACTAGACATTTGTTTATTATATGAATACTGGTATTTACTCTAAACAAAGTTGTCTAATGGAAGCCTGTTCACAGACCCTCTATTTTCTCATTTAAAGAGATACTCCATACCCAAAATAGTATTTTTACAAAAAGATGGCTTATGGCCTTATTAAAAGATTTTGTGAAAATAAAATGTCCAGTCCTCCTGTATTTGACAGAAAATGAGGAAAGTTTTTCGTCACGCAATTCAAATTTTGCGTTATAGCTAGAAACCGGAATTGACATAGCAAGGCTGAAGATCCTGGTTGCAAGACTTTACAACATGACCTCTAAGTTTCTGGTCTGTTTTAAACAGTCAATAAAGGATTTTGTGGTTGATAGTTTGTTCTAATGCCACATTGCTGCGTCGCTGTGGTGGATGTCCTATACTCGCGAAAACAGAGTTAATCTTTGTCAGTGCTCTGATTATTCCCGATATGCCAGGCTTTGGATGAATGCCGTGAAAAACAATTATTGATCTGACTTTACCAAGCCTATGAATTCAACTAGACTTTGCAGTGCTCATTTTATGGAAGACTGCTTTGAAGCACGAACAGCGATAGCTTAGTTCTTAGGCATAAAGATGCAACCAATAATAAAAGTTGATGCTGTTCCAACGATTTTTAAACATGGGCCGCCAGAAACTAAAAAGCTAAGGTGGGAAACGAATATCGCCACAACATCTCAGGATACTCACGATAAAGGCCAATCACCATAATAAAATTATATTCATTGCTTTTGCTTTATATGGCGACTACATGTTAATATTCTGTGTAGTCTGTGTTCTCATTACTCGTCTGCTAAGCGAAATCCCTTAACACAAAGTCATGTTCATTGTTTAGGGGAGGGAAGTGACCGCTAATGTAGCAAACAGCACAAGATGGCAGGACTGCAAACTTTTATACAAGCATATGTTCGTAACATGAAATTACTAAATTTCCATGGAAAATTGTCTTGTTCGCGTACACGGCTTACACACTTATAACATAGCTTTAGATCGAAACAATGCTCAAAGAAAATATTTGCACTCCATCAGAAGAGCACTTTTTTATTTTATCGGAAGTGTAATACCATCAATCATTAATAAACAGAATTTGCAATGCGGCATATTTGCTTTTATACCGATATGTATTTTGCTATCGCTTGGGTTGGTCCACATCGGACTGTCGCTTGTCGAGTCAGTATCCAAGTTTAGTAAACTCGCTGTCATACGACTGAAACAAATAAGTCTGTACTCCCTCACACTCTGATAAGCTCGAATTGTCATTTATACTTTATATCCACATACAAATTCTCCAAACTGATCTCTATATATTTCCTTAAAGGATGAGTTGAGAGAATTTGACAAAAGAACAAAGCATTTTCTCTTAGGTGATCATTTTATTAATTCTCATAATCTAATCTCTTGACATTGTACGGATATCATTAGGAGAAAATTGATGTTGGTCACTATTGGGACTTAACCCTTTAAGCCCCAGTATCCACATACAAATTCTCCTAACTGATCTTTATACATTTCCTTAAAGAATTAGTTGAGAGAATTTGATAAAAGATCAAAACATATTCTCTTTAGTGATCATTTTATGAATTCTCATAACCTTATCTCTTAAAAAGGTATGGATATCGTTGGGAGAAAATAAATGTTGGTCACCATTGGGACTTAAAGGGTTAAAGGACAAGAAGAAGGAAAGAACTATCCTCGGACTCCACAATCTCTTCAGACACACTGAAAAGATTCTCCTTTCTACAGTATGTTATGGTCATGTGCCCTAAAAACTCTGTGCAAAAAATGTTTTTAGGTATAGAGTATCCCTTTAAGGTACCTGCACAGACAAATTTTGCACATTTAGTGCATCACTTTTAATAATCCTGTGTTCCATCACAACTCAGCGCCAAATAATCTACATTGTATGGCACAATTTGCTATTTTGTAATTTGATCCACTTTTTGACATCAATAACTCAGCTGACATGCATGTCAGTCTAACCTTTGGTCAAACGCATATCTCTTCGTTATTATGCTCTTGGTGTATTAGCCTAATTTCAAAAAGAAATTATCATCCTTTCCCCCAAACAACCGGTTCTCGTAAGTCAAGGTAAATTGGTCACACAATAATTAATGCTTTTTCAGTGTAAAAAAGCTTATTTTCTTCTGAAAATCAACTGTTTTATGATGATACAGGAATGACAGACATTCTCGCTTGCCATTTTGAATCACCACTGTGTAAAAGGTTTGTGGAAGCCAAAAAAATGCTAAATAACCTCTCTATAGCCCCCTTGCATTTTGATATGTGACTATGTTGCTAAGCGTGATGCACTTCCTGGAAATTCGTTACATAGTGTCAGCATTGAAATGCAATGAGGAGCTCTGAACTATGAAGATCGAAGAAGATTTTCATTCAAAATTGAAAAGAATTGCTTCTGTAAAGAGAAAGAAATCTGCAGAAAAACAGACCAGAGGATTGTTCTGGTTTACAAAGTGTATGATATAACTGGCAGCAATAGATGTGAATTTCATTGTACCAGCTTCTCTTTCTTTTTAACTCCAACAGAGAAAACTAAGATGTTGAGATGAGCAAAAAAGAAAAAAAGTTTATTGGGGACTAAAAGTTATTCTGTACACTTAATCATAAGAAACCTTACAAAGCAATAGGTACCTGTCCCCCTCATGTCTATAAACTTAGCATAAATCTGTCTTTGTCTTCTGTCCAGATATAAAGTAAGAGATGGATTATCCATCTCACACAAATCACTTGGAAACAAAAAATTCTGGTCAATAACTCATCTAAACACTGGATTTAATGTAGATGAATTACCTTTCTCAGACAGATAACTCATCTGAGAAAGATTTTTCTCTGTAGTACAGGTTCAGATAGAATGTACTAAGGTTTTCATCATCAAGACTGTTTTATATGTTAGATTTGACCTGTTGGTTTTGTCCCTTTTAGGCAGAAATCCATTTTTAGCACTTCATAACCACCACCATGTTTTATCATCAATTTATCTTGGCTAAGAAAGCCCCTTTGGCCAGGGTATGGCTGGCAGCTCATTGGGAGCGAAAGCTGAGCAAGGCTTTAGTTTCTGAGACAGATCTCCCTTCTTCTGTTGAGAGTATCATCTCACCAAAAGTCAAGCTTGCCTTGCGAACGTCAGGCCATCTTCTTCTTGGAGTTGTGAGAATTTACTCCCGAAAGACAAAGTACCTATTAGCTGATTGCACTGAGGCGTTTGTCAAAATTAAAATGGCTTTTCGTCCAGGAGTGGTAGACCTTCCTGAAGAGGGCAGAGAGCTTGCATTTGCTGCTGTTACTATGCCAGAGGTTTTTACAGACCTTGATATGCCATTGCCTGAACTCAAGTAAGTTTCTCTTGTTTTTTTTTGTTGCTATTTTTAATATTTGTTTGTTTTTCCTGCAAAAAAGGCAGATTCTAGGTATTGACCCATTCACGCACAATTATTGTAAACACCCGCATGGAATCACATTCTGCTTGTGACACTTCAAAGATACATGATATGTAACTAAAATGCTCAACTTGTGTTGGGGGGAAGATTTCTTTTGAATCAAGCATTAATCTGAATAGTTTGGTCAAACAGACCAGATATACAATAATAACAAAGGCTAGTGTAACTGTTGTGCTTGACTTGTAAAAAATAATTTTTTGAGTAGTTTTGCTTATTGTTGGAAGGCAATTAGCCGGTAAACAGCTTGACTAAATTCAGACTGCAATTTTTGGCAAAATTTCTTGGTAAGAATGGGTAAAACTCTAGTAGTCTGCATAACTGCTTCATTCCATGGCCATTTGAGTTGTCTTTTTATAATCTACAAAGCCTCAAGAAGAATGAGGTTGAGTAAAGTTGAGATGCTATCTGCGATGGCTCACACAGGCCTAAAATATTCTTTGAAAAACTGCTTGGTCCTTGAAAACTCCTTGAGAATGATTTTTCTCCTTGAAAACTCCTTGAATTTGAAGAATTGGTGCGTGGATTTTATTAAACTCCTTGAATACAATTGAGACTACAACAAAATAAGTTCATTTTGACATCGAAAGATTGAAGGAACTGCTGAGAAACTCTCAAACAACGAAAAGCTTTCTATATTGGGACAATTCAGGGTTGCTTATGTAAGGTATCTAAGCACCGCTCGTTCAATAGGTAAGGGTCCGGGCAAATCATCATATAACTTAATCATTTATTAAAACAAACAAGGAATGGCCCCAAGCAAGCAAAATGTGAAAGCTACTTTCCACAGGACTATCTGGAATTGAAGTTTTTTTTTAGCCCCAAGGTTGTCAAAAGTAGCCGGCTGCCAGCAAAAATCGCCACCTACTTGGTTAGTATCGGCTGGCTACTCTGCTTAGCTTTTCTTTATGAATGGTGTTTTTTAAATAAAATATCCCCAGACTGGCCACTTACTTTGACAACTCAGCCGTCTACTTCATAACTTTCTGACAACCCTTGTGCCTACATACATTCTGTAAATATTTTATTATTAGTGACAACCTTGCCTGTACTGGATAATGCTAACCACCTGATAAATAACTATCTAGTGGATTGCTTTATTTACCTTTTGACCAAGTGGGGCCTGTTGTTTACTCTGGTCTTTAAACATAAATATCACGTTTACTTTTGGATGACTGATAATACTGAAGAGGCTTTGATTCCTTCAAGGTTTTCTGTTGGTGTTGCCTTATCTTTCCTTGGAGGTGACAAGCTTTCAACAGCTTTGGCATTTTTTGTTACAACCAAAGTTGATTGCACTTATTCAGTAAATCAGCAATACACCATTTTCAAGGAGTGGATTCAGAATTTATGATTTGGAGTGCACTGGAATTATGTCATGTTTAATAAACGAGCAACAGTGTTTTATTGGGTTTAAAATCATGAGCTGAAGGCAAGTGATTTTAGACCCGATAGAACAGGTGCTGCAAGTTTATTGAACGTCTTCAAAGACATTTCTGGAAAAGCATGTCTCAGTGGAGTTGATAACAAGAATGCTTTTGTGAATGTCAGGAATTAGCAGACGAAAAAATATTAAGTATGAATTAGGCATGGAAGAAAATTAAATCTCACACAGGTTTAGAACTTTTCGTCTACAAATGACACTAACCGAAGAGGACATGGCGTCTTGTTCTAGAGCTTTTCAGAAGCCTAAAACTTCCGAGGAAAAGAGAAAGTGAATCAAAAATGCTATCCCAAAGTCAACACGTGCAATGAAAAAGTAGTCTTTCTTTCTGGAATGGCCAAATGGTAGGAAAACAAAAATCCACTACTCCAGCCTTGTGTCTTCACAACTGACAAGGCTTGACTGCAATGCTTGGACACCGCTTTAGCCAATATAACCGCTGAGTCACTGAACTTTTGGCTGATTAAATTTGTGAAAGAACAAAGTTTAATTTTGTGCAATAGTAAATTTACTACATGTGTAATTTTGAAAAAAACATTAAATATTCACCCCCCATTTGTTGTGTCAGTTGCTGTGCTGATAATTTTAAAAGTGGCTAAATGTTATTTAGGCAAAGTTAACCTCAAACCAATGCTGGTCAGCAGTTTCCACAGCTACACTAGAGGTGGCCCGATGCCTTTAGCAGGGGCACCTCGTGACTTATACACACAGTTGATTGCCTGGCATTTTGTGCTTTGGTTTTTTCCCATCCCTCCCTCCCTCTTGAGGTATGGGCCAGGTAAGTATTGGTCGGTAAGTATTCCACCGATTTGTTCGGTGTTACAGTGCCTGGTGGGGGCCGCTCGCAGGGTTGCCATGGATACCTCCTCCTCATGCTAAAGCATTGCCCGGCTCCACCATTTTTGTAGGCACCAACGCCCAAGCTCATCTATTGGTGATGAGTTTAACATATTCATAAGTCACGTGCAGTGACTTTATATCTGATAAAACACCATATACTAATAAGGAGAGGTTTTATCAATATAAAGTCACTGCACATGATCTATTATTGACCATTTGATAGGTGATTGGCTTATGAATTACTAATGAGTTTATGAAGTAATCCTAATTAAGGTAATTTCTTTCTTGTCTTACAGTGAAGTTGAAATTCATGCCCAATTCACTTTAAATCAAGGTCGAATTGAGGAAATCACAATGAAGGAAGACATAATCACCAACAACTTCATTGGTGATGATGGGTTTGGAGACATGTTTGAAGGAGAAATTGAGCCAGAGTTGGCCAGAGCAGGATCTGCTTTGGAAGAGCCCCTTTATCAGGCAAATGACATATCCAAGTTAAGCACTATTGAGGATGCACAACCAAAGACAATCATGGATTCAACTTTGGAGAGAAGCAAGCTAGGTAAAATGTTTAATTTAGTCTTGGTTGTATTCTTTCATGCAATAGTAAAACTATGCAATGCATTTTTCAAACTTATTAGTACCATTGGGGTCTGTTTGATCACTGCTGTTTGGAATTAAATACTCCTTATCGATTTAGCCAAAATGTTATATATTATTTCTTTGCTGATGTATGTCAGATCATTGTTGCAATAGAAGCAAGCACCATTGTCATTATAGCTGTCAGAAATTTTGTGCTCTATCCAGGAGAGGTAATATTATACAAATGTTAAATGATTAAAATAAAAGAGCCCAAGTGTGTTTACAGGTCATGAAATGATATATCATCGTATCATATTATCCTTTTTACTCAACAGTGAATACTTGACTCTTAAACACTCTCATAGCGACTACTTCTCGTAAGCAACCACTTTGTAAATAACCACTTTGTTTCTCAGTCAAATACTGTTTCAAAACTCTCATGTAAGTGACCACTACTTAAATTTCTTAAATAAACATGACCACATTTTAAACCATAAATTTGACATAGAGGCAGGTGACCTTTCTGCACCAACCCACTCCATACACAGAGCTGTCATTAAGGGCCGTAACCCTTAACACCTGTTAAGACTTAGCTCACTTGATGTTACAGGTGATCAAAGTGGAAAGCTAAAGGTGGCACTATAAATTTTTGTGAGATGTTACGGGTGAATCTTCATTTGCCACTGCTGCTTCAAAACTTTATAACAGTCCTGGTACATATATTTGATGGCCTTAAGCTAGTATTTTTTTTGTAGCCCGGCTTGTGGAATCTTTCCTTTGCTTCCCTGATGGGCAAGTAAATAATAAGTTAAATTTATGTTAGTTTTATTATTTTTATTATCATCATGGTGAATATGTTTTTATGCTACATGCAGTTCATCCAATTTTTGAAAGCCTCTTTTAAACCCCATTTACACGTGCTAAAAAATCAGCTTGGCACTCCCAATTTTCGACGTGTAAACGTATCGGTCCCAAATGTAATGTGGCACCGGGGCTCAAAATTTTAGGGGTGCCGACACTACCTCCTGGAGGTAGTCTCGGCACGGGTAAACGAGGCACGCTGCCAAAGATTTGGCATGTCCTGCTGATTTTTTTAGCACGTGTAAATGGGGTTTTAGAGAGAGAGAGAGAGCTTGAATTTTCCTTTTCCTTATTTATATATATGATTTGAAACAAGCTGCATGTAACTATAATTTGGTGGCTAGCAGTGGTGCATTGGCTCAATGGTATGAAAAAGTGTTTGTTTCTATCCAGTTCACCATTGGTATTGATCAGCAATGAACTTTTATTTCTTTTTTATCTTGGCTAGACATAGCACTTGATGAACCTTTAAGAGATGATGGGTTTGGAGGCGAAGGTGTAGATTTTCTCGCTGATGGATTTGGAGATGAACTTGGAGGAGATGCTCTTGTACCTGGTTTTGATGATCTACCAACCACAGTTGGTGTAGCAGATGTTACTCTTGAGCCCGTGGATACAAAGTTAATTGAAGACAAGGAGAGTTCTGTGACAGAACCTGTTCAAGAACCAGGTAGGCCTTTACCTTTTCCACAGCATTAGGGAGCTTAAGCAACTAGGAGGACTTCAAAATAATAGGTTTAATGATCAAAATAACAGCTCTGCACTTGCATCATGCTTTTTAGTACATTTCTTTGACGTCCACTGCACGATTACTAATTTGCCATTTTTCTGGAGGACGTGGACATGTGACGATGAATTTTCCTTCCTCCTTTTAAACCTAAATAAAATCCTTAAGAATTCAACTCCAGGAAAAGTCGCCTGCATTTGACATATTGAGCAGGTCCAAATAGACGCGATTAAGTTTGAAAGAACGCAAATTCATTTTTTTACTGACATTTTCACTGCCGTCATTGTCATCCTTGCTTCTAATGTCGTGAGGTGGTCTTTATCCCATTGCATAGCTTCTTCTTGCCATCTTCGTCATCAGACATCAGAGGCCGGAGAAATGAAATGTGTACATACACATGTGAGGTTCTCTATGTACTCACAACTAAACAGAATAATCAGATAATTTTACCTGCAATAAGATGTATGTGGTATAGTTTATTGTAGGGTTTTCACTTGGATAATTGGAGGTTGCCAGTTGATTTGAGTGAAGTAACCTTACCAACTGTATCAAACATAGCCATGTTTAACATGCATAAACTATTTTTAATGCTTTAGTGTAACCATATGGACAATCTACTGTTTTAATCCTAAGTTAAGACTACTTTTTGTGCAAAATTGGGTATCGCTATACATTTATGAAACCCTGAACCACTGCGCACAGGTCAGTTGATCCTCATACTATACCGGTACATTCATTTTTATTTGTCTTTCCTTGGGACATCTGGAGGAAAATAAACAAATTGTTAAAGTACTGTGAATATGAACTCACCAAACGTTGCTTAGAGGGAAGACTCGAAGGTTTCAAGGTTTCATGGTTTCTTAAGATAATAGGGCTAGTCGAATACCGAATAGCTAAGAAAAGTTATGATTTTCATCATTGTTGTAGATGGTTGCATCATCATTATTAATGAGGTTGTCATGTCTATTCTGACGACTTGATTCTGAAAGTGTTATAAGTTATTGTTTCTTAAAAGAAAAGAGCCTTTACTTACATGTAAGGCACCAGTTACAAAACTAAAGAGGTCTTCAGACGTTCAAATTACTATTACCAGTATTACTGTGTAAAGCCAGTCTGCATGAGACGTACAGTCACACAGTTTGCATGTGAAAGTGTCGGACTTTGCCCCTTCTGTGTCCCGTACATGAGGGAATTTGAGTTATCACACAGTAATCGAGTAAGCAGGATTATAAAAATATCTTATGCACACAATTTGCAAGTGAAGAAGTTGGACTTTTTCCTTTTACAATTCAAACGTAAAAGAACATGAATTCTTTACCAGAAGATTTGCTCAAATGATTTTAAGAAATCACCTCAGCTTTACAACGTCTGCTATTAAATTATGCTTAATGCAATGTTAAGGATGAAAGTTTAACATTTATTTACTTCCAACAAAATTATCAAACTGCTGATATATATTTCTATTCATATCATGTTATTTCACTCAATAAAACAATATCTAATTTTTTTGTCAACCAACTTCTTCCAATTTTATTCCCTAACACTATTGTTTTATAAAGTTATGCATCTTTACTAAATAAAATACACTTCAATAACTGTAATGACTCTTAAGCAGCAAGCACGTATCATGTTATTCGCTTAATTCACGTGTTTTTTTTTGCCAGAACGAAAAAGGTTTGTTAAACTTTGAAAGCGAGGGAATAAAGCTTGTTTGCAGGATTAATTTACTCAGTACAGCTGTCAAACAAAATAAACTGCCTTTCAGACTTCTAAAACCACAAGTTATAGGCCATATACTTCCAATTTAAAGTCTTTATTCAAATATCAATTATTGTTTCTTTGGAAGATCTTTGAAGATATATGATCTTTTATACACTACCTTGAAGCAGGTGAAACAGAGTTCATAAATACGAATTACGTGCGTTGTACCATCTGCAATAGCCGAATTAGGTCAGAAATCTATTGAAGCAGCATTGACCCTAAAATATGAACCCTTAAACAGCTGCATAACTGTACTCAGCGTTTGAATTCATCCGATTACTTCGAGTCATTATTATTCCCTCAGTAACGTCTGAATCCACCTGCCGTTAATGCCATCCAGTGACATCACTCACTACTCAAAAACCAGGTAGTGATTTTGATTGATTTATTGTGTAAACATTCGCATAATTATGTATAATTACATTTGTATGAAAAATTTTAGTAGGATTGTTGCTTGATATTCAGCAGATCGCATCCCTGGCATTCTTTCATGTAGTTTAAACATTAACAACAAAAACAACAAACAACAAATTTTATTGAAAATTGGAAAATAACTAATTACATTACTTTCCCACCCGCAAATAGCTTATGAACTAATCGAGGCGGGGGGAGCTGAACACAATTTACAAAACAAGATTTATATATAGATGGACTAAATAACAGTGAAGACACTACAATACAGTAAATAGAATTTAAACTAACATAAAACAAGGCATGTACATAACGATTACGAAGAGAGGCTAACCTAAAGTATTAAATAACTTAATAAGACGGGAGACTTCGACATAATCATCTTCTGACCGCAAAAAATTTAGTAATAATTCCTTTATTTTTTTACGAAAGGACGAACGTTTAAGTATTTTAATCGAATACGGAATAGAGTTCCAAATTTGGGCACCGATTCTCGTGAAAAAGGCATACATTTTATCGGTTCTAGAGAACTTAACATAAAACGAGTCGCTAGAGACAGATCTTGTTCTGTAGTTATGAATCTGACTTGTTTTAACGAACTGATTGAGAATACTAACTGGTGCTAACATTTCGATAAGCTTAATCATCTTAAACAGCAAAATTGCCCTTGTCTCGAAACTGAAATGCTAAAGTGAACTGCAAATGAAGAATCATTGTGGAGAGTCAGTAGATTTTTCATTTAGAGCCGCTTTGTGGTTTTGGCGGCCGGTGATTTTGTTTATGTGAAGTTTTCTTAGATCAATGTTTTAATTCAACCTTCTTGCTATTTTCACCGTCAAGTGTAATGATTCTGTTAGCTTTTCTTTCTTGTTTCCTTGTTTTTTTCTTCATTAAGAACCAAGAAGCTTCTTTTCAATTAGGCAAATCACTGTGTTTTTGAACTAAGTCTTCCATGTGTGTGTTTATTTCGTTGCGTGATTGCGACCGAGTTTGATTATAGAATTCAGTACAATCAGTTCAGAGTTGTACTGCATACAGTTGATAGTTTGAATGCTAAACATGCATTACGATAAAAAAAAAAATAAAGCAATTCTGTATCATGCAGACATTTCCAACTGATATTTCTCGGTTTGCCACTTGAAAATTGTGTTTTACTTTTTGCATGAATTAAAGCAAAGGTCAAGGAGTAGTGACGTCACTGGAATGTAATACAATTACATATTATACATAATTATGCAAATGTTTAGACAATCAACCAATCAAAATCACTACCCGGTTTTTGGGTAGTGAGTGATGTCACTGGATGACGAAAAACTTGTGAAAAATCAAGATGGAGGTCTCAAAGTGCCCTTGTTTGACCTTTAGCAATGTCATGTTTAGATGCCAAAATCTCATTGGTTCCTAAGCATCAACTCATAGTACCTTCAACCTTATTGGCCCCTGCAACAGTCATCTGAATACACAAGGCCACAATGATACATACACTCAAACCACGGACATATGAGCTATTTTTTCACAATAGTTCAACAAGGATTGGAATAATCTTTCTCTATTAGCTCAGTTTAGGGGGGAAAGTGACCATCTCCTCTGAGTGCAGTAGCAGGGTGCAAAGAAAATTATTTTTAAAGCTTGCCATTCGGGCAAGCTCAAGCTAGCATTTACAAGCCCAGACATCATTTCAACTAGCCCCAAAACTTTTTGACTAGCAGAATTGATTTCACAGTTGTTCTTTTATTCAAATTCCTAAAAAAAACATCATTTGCCCATCGGGCAAGTTAAAAACAGAATTCACTAGCCCGATAGCAAAATTCATTAGCCCCGGGCTAGCGGACACTACTTTCTTTGCTTGCTTAGTAGCCAACACTTTTGGTTGGCAGTTTGTGCTTACTGTAAGCACTGTTTCATATATATTAACCTTATTTACTATTTAAATAATACAGCTGGAGCTTACTGTAGATTGTAAATCGGGGTGCAAAGAAAATCATTTTTACAGCTTGCCATTCAGGCAAGCTGAAACTAGCATTTACTAGCCCAGACGTCACTTCAACTAGCCCCAAAAACTTTTGACTAGCAGAATTGATTTCACAGTTCTTCTGTTATTTGAATTCCTCAAAAAATATCACCTGCCTGTCGGGCAAGTTAAAACAGAATTCACTAGCCTGATAGAAAAATCCACTGGCCGTTAGCTATCAGACACTACTTTCTTTGCATGCTGTAACTGTTCTCTTCTCAGCTTGCCTCCATTGCATTTTCAAAACTACATGACAAATTGATTCCCACAATCTAAGGACTTGGGCTTACAATAGAGAGGAGAAGTCGTTACGTCATGTTGCCATGGTAACAAAATTTCTGGATGACAACAAACTGAAAACATCACTGAAAAAGTGAATTCACACTTAAAATTCATTGATCTTATTCAATTTCATTTAATTTGTCAAATGTTGGTGAAATTTTCTGTGGTTGATTCCGAAAGTACTATAATTAAGTTTAGAAACAGAAAAAGAAAACTTGTGTTGTGTTCACCTTCTTTATAAAGTGGGCGCATGAAATTAGGAGTTTTCATGTCGCAGTCGTGTAACAATGGCAAAGAAATGAACAAAAAAGCATGATGCACGTGCAAAGTTGTTGTTTTGCTAATATAAATTTATTTCTTTTTTGCTGTTCTCATTGCCGCCGCCGTTATCGTTGCTAAGCTCCCTATTGTTGTGATCCAGAAATTTTGCTACCATGGTAACAAGATGTCACACTTCTCCTCTCTATTTATTTTCTCCAAGGCCACTTCCTGTTGTAGGGAAATGTAGTTTTCACTACCAAGGTGCTATGCTTTGGAACAGCCTTCCCTCTCAAACAAAAAAATTCAGAACACTATGAATGCCTTTAAAGAATCCTGCCAGCAAGTTAAAATTTTTTCTATGTTTTCTCTTTTATATGTTTTGTAATAACAATGTACATAATAATAAATGCTCTATAATTTTTATTTATTATTTTATTCATACTGGGATTTAAATATAATACACAGCTCGAAGAAAGAGCATATTATCTTATTTGTAAATATAAATTATTGATAGGAAGATAAAATCAAGCCTTTGTATATGTGTATGTATGTACCTTATTTACTTTAAAAGATGTTTTAATTCCGAGAACTGCTTGTGGTAAAATTATTTTTACTTAATATCCAAACGGACTAACTTGTCAATTCAACAGGTGTGAATGAGACTGCCAATGAAACCACATTGCTAGACAATGAAGCAGAGGCATTTGTTCTTGAGCCAGTGGAAGTTGTTCAAAAAAAGAAACGGAGCAGGCGGAAGAGAAAGCTAGTGGTTGATGAGGAAAAAATTTTAGCCACAGAATCCATCAAGTCTCAACTTGCTGACAGTTCAGACATTGTGAAGCCTGCAACTCTTGCTCCTCCCACAAAACAAAGAATGAAGCTCAAAAGCGTCTCAACTGCTGAAAAGCTTTTTGCCTTGCCAAATGTTGAGGCCTTTGCATCGCCCGTTATTGATGCTTTTAGAGTTAATCTTACAAAGGTTGTGAACAGCGAAAATGTTGAGACAGAGGAAAAAATGGATGTTGATGAAGAACCAGAATTGCCAAGAGAGGAAGAGGAGGTGTCTGGTGTTTTTGAACGAAGTAATAATCAGTCAAAAGTTTCTTTTGCCAATGAGGAGACCAATTTAACTGTTGTCCCCGGGGAGCCAATTGACCAGGCTATTGATGAATATGAACGTCCCGTGGAAGAAGAAGAACCATTTTTAGCCGGGGAATTTGAAGATATTTACCCAACCAACAAAGATGAAGTGGAAGAAATTGAGCTGCAACCAGAATCAACAGCTTCCGAAGGAAATTATGAGCAACAAAGCTCTGATACAAGTGAACAGTTAGAAAACAGACGGTGGACAAAGCGCACTCAACAGCTACTTCACACTTTAAAGAGGGAATTCCAGAAAAAAAATGTTGTTAATTTTGGAAACTTGGTTCACAAGAGTAGCAGAAAGCAAGCGGCATACAAATTTTACAGTTGTTTATTGCTCAGCAAGGAAGGAAATGTTGAAATAGAACAGAAAAAACCATTTGGGGACATAAAAATTTCAAAGGGAGAAAGCTTTAATGTCGTCTGTTAAGCTGAACCGCCCAAGGGGGGCTTGCTGCTTCGTTAGGAAAGTATTTTATTTTACTACATTCTCGACATTTACATACATGTGTACGCTTCCAATATTAACTTTGTGATCCCCCAAATTAGGAGGAGCTTCATTGCACTGTAGATTTAAGCAAAATAAGCAACTCAGTTATGAATGTTAGTTGTTGTATAAAAGACATTTCATCTTTATCCAATCTTTAAAACGTTTAAAAATTACATTGTATATATTTTTGTGGCCTCTTTAATTACAGAAGGTTTCTAGTCTTTGGAAATACATGTATCTTTGTAATTTTGTTTTTTAATCAAGTAACTTCTCATGAGAGGTGGCCATGACAAAGAGTGCAGTAGATTGAGGAGATTTTCAAGTCTTTAGTAACAATTTCTGTTAGATAGATTACTATTTTAGGCAGCCAGGGACGAAAGAGCTATTACTAAACTGAAGAACCTAGATTATCTTAACCTGCGATCGGGCAGGCGGACCTTTTTCCATTTTTTCTCCTCTCCTGTCTGCCGAATTTCGCGCTCCCTCGGAAAAAAGAAGAGCGCCCGATCGCAGTTTACGATTATCTGTAAAAAGATAAATAGTCCAGATAATCGAACGACAACAATGACGATCTTTTATTTCACCAGTTGATAATTTTCAGTTTCATTTTTGAAATATAAAAAGAGCCATAAAGAGGGAAATATGAGTAGTGATGACATCACATATCCTTCATATGAGAGTTTCCCCCAGGAGGAGGAAGGTATTTCTAGTCACCGTGTAAAAATGCCGGTTCTTCCTTTAAAATACCTCATAACGAATGTTTTGCAACACATCAATTTTCGCGATGTTAGAATGTTCCATTTTTAGTCAACACTTACTTTTAGTATTTAAACAGACTTTTCAATTTCACCACTCTCTGAATTCGTGTTGAGTGTAAAAACCATAAAAAAGGATTGCTGCAAAAGTCTTTTGTTATAAGGTATCCTGTTAAGAGGCATCTTGAAAGCAGTTGATGTATCGCGTTCAAATCTCTTTACACGAAGTTTTGATATTTTTACTTCGTTTCAGGTTTTTTGTAGTTAAAAGAGCGTATTTATTTTGAGATCTGTTTCTATGTCAAAACAAACTCTTATTACTCTTAGAACTACTATTAGCCTCGTACCCTGGAAAGATGACTAAGCCTAACCCCGGTTCAAGCTAGATTTAAAGTTTTCTTGTCTTGGAGCTTCTGAGATATTTTTTAGCCTTTATTGTGAGTTTTACTGTATTTATTATAACGCAGAATTAAACTCTTTATTAGCTGTACAAATGTAAATACATTTAATGGGTTAAAACGATTTATCCCGAATATGTTCTAATTAGCTGTCCAGGAGCTGATCGCAGATCTGTACTTTTTTCAAAATTACTACATTGTAAATACTTGCATTACCATGTTTATAATGTTATTTGATTTATGCATACCATAGTGCCCGCTAAATTTGCACAGATTTTAATGAAAAATTTTGTCCTCTCAGCTCTTTCTTGATGATTTGTTGACTTCGATTTCAAATAAGTGAGTTTCCATTCATGGGATCTATAGTTTTTTCAAATTTGTTATTGATACACAAAGGGAACTTTTAAAATAGTAGACCTTCATGTGAACGTAACGCATCGCCTAGAGGAGTAGATACAGCAGTGAATTTGAACACCCTTGCATGTTTAAGTAGAGCGTCAATCGTTTATGAAGAATTTTTTATAGACTTTCAGATGTCTACAAAATCGTTATAGCTCACTGGCTAATATATTCCTTTGAAGCTATTAATTTCACTGCTTCCTAATTTTAGAAAGTTGTTTCTGGGGTAATAAAAGGCTTATGTTTTCCAAACAAATTAGGCTACTTTTCTCTCCTCGGAAAAGGGAAAGGCGCGTGACGTAAGCCGCTCATGTTTAACTTTTTATAACACACTGTATTTGAATGGTCGTTCTCGAAACATTTAAAATAGGCCATTTACACGATGGCGTCATTTTACTACTATGACCAGAATCTTTTTCGTTTTTCTTTTCATATCCAAGCGAGATTCAAATGACAAAAGCTGTAATTTGTACAAGAAAGGAAAACCCTAAGGGATTCTGGTCGTGGTAGTAAATGACGTCATCGTGCAAATGGCCCATTTGCTCCAATAGTAGAATGATGACCTTTCTCGAGTGTGTTATCAATCATTGGCCTTTTCCACATTGCCCGTAATACACCTTCCACCCCCGCCTCCATTAGCCAAAAAAGACAAAAAATTGTTTCAGTTTCCTCCTGGGTACTACACATTTTGTGGTCAACAGTAGTTGTATTACGGGTAATGTGAAAGTGGCAAATTGCCGGTATTTTATTGACTTGTCGGTAAGAACAGAATTTAATGTTACTGCATTTAGCTTTCACGAAATGTGGAGAGAATAAGGTTTTGTGATTGTACTGTTTAAGTTGAAGGCTCCCAATAAACATTTTAACTTACTTTCCTGTGTACATTATTTTTAGAAGTTGCAATTGCTGAAGATTTGCTTGCCTGTCGTAATTTCAGTTTTACTTGATGGCAATGGTACAATTTTACTGTCTTGTACTAGAGAAAAGCATTCGGTTGAATCGATTACAGCATAGGCCATTTTAGAAGTAGGAAATTAAGAGCACTAGCTCAACGTTTTTTAAGTGTAGTTAAGGTAGTTCCGTTGTTGTTACAGGTACGTTGAACTAAGACGAACTGTATGTGAGCTTTTCTTTTTTATTTTTTCCGGTTTTCACGCGATGTCTACGAAACTTTGAGAAAAACTATCGTTCTACGATAATAGTATGAAATAATGCGATTTTAGTGGTGATAACTAGTTTACTAAAAAAGTGCTTAAGTGCATTGTACGCCCAGTTAGAAATCTTGCTGATATTCAGTTTTGGCTGCAATTTCTGGCAAAGTGGAACCCCGCTTCACGGACACCCTCTTAAAACAGACACTTCGTCATGACGGGCAGTTTTCCTTGTCAGCCCTTACAAATTCTCTAAATTCAACCCACTTAACACGCACACCCGTTATTGCGGACAATGGATACTTGTTTCTTGCCCAATTAGACAGATTCCCATATAAGGTCAACGTCGCTAATGTTGACACTTCATCATCAAATGTGTGCTGTAATAGACCATTGCTTTTTCAAGGTAAATGTTCCCAGCGCTTGACAGTACACCAGACAGGATGATTTGTAGACGTTGATTTCAGACCATTTAATCATCAAACAAGCTATGTAGGGAACGTATTTGATCAAGTCATATACAGCTATTTCGAGAAAGGTTGTCGGAAAAACTGTGCACGCAATAATCACGAAGGGTAATGGGATATGATCAATACACTGTTCCTGACATTGTGCCTATCGAAAATACTTTTCTTGCTTTCCTTTAGTACTCGCAAACATACGTACAAGGCCTCTCGTGCCATTCTTTCAAATTTCATTGAAGAACTGTGAACTCAGTACTACTCACGATACCTTTCAGCATTGTCGCGTGTACTTTTTCCGACAACCTTTCTCGAAATAGCTGTATATTTATTATTCCACGAGTGCGCGTTAGATACGAGATGATTATAGCTAACTCCCGCCTCGTTGTCGTCGTTATAAAAAGCGCCCACAAAATATCGAGAATTCTTCCCGACTTTATTTGTAAGAACAACCGATTGTTAGCTTGTTTTTTATTTTGTTCAGACGCGTACGGTTACCATATTCGGAGAGCATGGTGTAATAGCTCGTATACCGTGATAGTAGTATAGGAGTTAAGGGTACCGCAACACTTTCCCCTGTTTTCAAGCCCGTCAGCGCCCCCCCTCCGCCCCCCCGCCAACTCTTTTACCCGTCGCTGCGGTACATAACTCCAATTGTTTATTTTGTAGTGGCCATACGCGTAACTGGTTTGGCCATTTGCATGAATATATCTTTTGTCATCAAAGCATGACAGTGATATCTTATCTTACACTACGGATTGTTTTCATGCTATGATATATTTGTTTATTATTCTGTAAGGTATCTTCGTAGTCTTGGTGTGTGATCTTTTTGATGAGATACTTCTTAATTCCATTTGCTGTCTTTTCATTCTTATCATTGTCTTTTACATAGGAATACATCTTACTTCTCAGCCTAATGAACTCTGTTACAGGAATGCCTACAGCTTTATCCTTAAACTTACCTATGACTTTCTTATTGGTTGGATCAAAGTATTGACTGTGCTTAGAGTAATCACTGTTATCAAACTTCTCTGTCTGTCCAGAAATCTTGCTACACAATATCTTTAGCTTTGATCTCATACATCAATGAATCTGTATCAGTGAACAGAAACTTGGCTCTGCTTTTATATTTCTTTTTGATATAATTATATTGGAAGTCATACATACGTGTCTTGGTTAGATCTAGGATACACATGATAACATAGTCTCTTATCTTATGGACTGCCACTAAGTTCTCATTGAGGATCTTCCTAGTTACATACATAGGTTTAGAAGCTAGCTTGGAAAATTTGTTTTCATCAGTCACTAGGCTCACATCTCTTTCTGATACTCTCCATCGTTTTACTAAACACAGAGTTGTTCATTAGTTTAAAGAAGTCTTTTTCAAATGAGTTCTTAGCATTCATTCGTTTTTGTGTCTTGAAATCAATGTACTGTTTTAGCCATGGCAAAATGTGGAATTCCAATACGCAATGCATCTTCTTTAGTTTAAATCTCAGATCCAAATACAGTTGCAGATTTCTGTAGTGGAGTACATATCTTTCTTTGCTGCTCATTGTTGGGATTAGTTTCTTTACTTGTCCAATGGAGATCTTGTATTTCTTTCTAATAGTTACCCAATAACGTGACAGCATTTCCTCAGTGACTTTTAATTTTTCTGCGGCAAGTGGATGATCATTATGCAGTTTATGTAGTGAGCTCGGTTATTCTAGATCGACCTCTAATATCAATATCAAACCCTTGCACTGTTGTTTGTATACATTGCTAGATTGATCTGCTGTACCTTCTTTTCACTCAGCCATTTGAATCCTTCTGTTGGTAGACACTGTAACATCGCTCAGCCATATAGTTTATTGGCATCAAGATACATGACAAATATACTTGGATGGTTTACTTGGATCATAGTCAGACATATATTTGTTGCTGGCTCGTCCATATCTATTAGCGATATATGAGATGCCACCACGCATACCTTTCTCGATAAACTGTAACATGTTACTGCCTGTCATGAGTTCCAGTTGTATATCTGTCATCTTTAGCATGGCATCCCATGATGATCCAGGGGATGTGAAGTAATGACAGGGATTTAATTTGTAATACAAAAGTATGTCTTCCGAAAGTTCTCAAATACATCTCCCAGCAGTAGTATGTCAGACATGAGGTATAGATCATGATACTCACCCACTGATCTGAGATTGAAAATATTCCAAACATCTTTGGCATGATTATAATTATCATCTGTGATACCTTCATCATCAGCATACTATAGCATCACACTTCATGATGTATAATATATAGATTTAGCCAGGGCTAAAAGCGAGGCTCTCGTCAATATATTTATAATTTAAATCAAACAATAAACTTGTATTCCACAATTTAGTTAACTTTGCAAACAGGCCAATAGTGAACAAATTATATCGAGTTGATAGCCTCATACACTCAAAAAATAGCAATCATCTTCGATCACATTTAAGAGCCATATTAGGGAGCTTAAGCAACGGTGTTTTTGAGCGACGGACGTCAACCGGAAGTGGACTTTTTCAATCACTGGGCAGTGGTTTGGTTCAAACTCTCGGGTAAATCGTCTTAATAAGAGAAAAGAAACTTAGCAATACAAATTTGTTAGCGCCAAGGAAGATAAAAAGGGAGAAGTCCTCACTTCCGGTTGACGTGCATCGCTCAAAAACGTCTTTGCTTAAGCTCCCTAATGGCTCTTGATCACCGTAAGATTAATTAGGCCTGGAAAAAAAATCAGGCCGAATTTTTTTGCGTTCGACAAGTTTACTTTACAAAATCTTGCCAGCAAATCTGGGTGCGTGTAAACGAACCTCTTATACCATTTATACATCACATCTGTTTGAAACAGTACTATGAGGTACTGTTTTTATCATACAGACCTCGGAAAGAATGCAGTATTTCACAATTTTGCAACACAAATTGCACTCATTCAACATTTAGGACGATCGAAACATGCGT